TTTTTATTATGGAAACTTAAAAATGTATGCCCAAGTAGACAGACGGAATTCTTCTCAATTCTTTTTTTTTTTTTTTTTTCTGAGATGGAGTCTCACTCTGTTGCCCGGGCTGGAGTGCAGTGGCACAATCTCGACTGCAACCTCCACCTCCTGGGTTCTTGCAATTCTCCTGCCTTAGTCTCCGAGTAGCTGGAACTATAGGCACATGCCAGCACACCTGGCTAATTTTTCTTATTTTAGTAGAGACAGGGTTCATCGTCTTGCCCAGGCTGGTCTCGAACTCCTGAGCTAAGGCAATCCACCTGCCTTGGCCTCCCAAAGTGCTGGCATTACAGGTGTAAGCCACCATGTACAGCCTCTTCTCAATTCTTTTCAAAGAATGCTTTAATTAGATGGATTTATCAAATATCCCCATCAAAGAGAAAGTCATGTGTTTTCCCATTATCTCTATGGCTTAGGTACTAATTTGGATGTCAGAGAGAGAGACATACTAATTTTACTTTTCATGAAACAATTTATATACTCGGATTCATTTCTAAAAGTTTGTAAGTGAGGTAGAATCAATAAATTTTAATAGCAGCAGGTGTAGTGTTTTCAAAAGATAGTATTCCAAGATTTCTTCAAACTATGTCCAGTTTTCTAACTATAGCATACGAAGAGCATAAAAATAATACATGTGAATGAAGGGATGAAATATTGTAGATAAACATATCAAAATAAGTAATAAATCAATTATTAAACATTATCTAAATGAGATTTTATAAAGTAGAACATCTTAGGTGGTTATCTCACAGTATAGAATCTTTATTTTTTGGCTACAGTTTCTTCCAATTTAAATAGTTTGTGGTCCTGCAGTGTTTAAAAATTGTTCCTATTTTTTTTTTTTGAAATAGGAAATGGTACGGTTTTTGAAGTCCACTTATCTTTCTTCTCTTCCTTTTTTCTTCTTTCCCTTACTTTCTTGAATATGTAGACCTGCTATCTGCAATTCTATTGAAACTTCTGTTTGCAAAAGCTCCAAAACTGTTAGTCCAAGTTTGTTTAGATCAGAATTGGTGTCCTAATAGCATCTAAGAGTTCAAAGGGCAACTATTTTGCATGTTACAACTTTAAAATACCACCTTTTCTTTAGGCAGCTGGAAGTTCTTAATTATTAAATAAATATATAATTTTCAGACCTTGTCTACTCAACAGGAAATAAATGATTTAGCTTCTAAATGTGAAATTATCTAAGTTAACCTTGATACTGGGAAATCTAAGACATTAAAGATAAAACTCAAACGGGTTCAGTTTCGACCAGTAAAAGCATGACAACTTGAATGTTTATTATTTTTTGGTTTAGATACTGTGTTACAAATTATAATAAATTCATATCTAGTATATATTCCAGCTTCTCAAGTAAGTCAGAAGGAATTTAATTTCTATCAAAAGAAAGTATTAATTCTGGCTTTGGTTTATACTAAGGGAATTCTGAAGCAACCTTTTTAAAGGATTTTTAAAAGAAACTGCTAGAACACTGCTGGAACAAAGTTGAAAATCAGAAACATGAAAGAGAAGATTTTCTTTTTTCACTTTGCTTGAAGGGATGAAAAACAGTGTACAATCCAAGAAACTGATCTCATTACATTCATATTTTATGTTTTCCAAATGTAAAACCAATTCCAAAGGTCAAGAAATAACTGGTGGATTATAATTATATTTAAAAAAGCCATAGTAGGCCAGGCACAGTGACTCACGCCTGTAATCCCAGCACTTTGGGAGGCTGAGGCAGGCAGACTGTGAGGTCAAAAGATTGACACCATCCTGGCCAACATGGTAAAACCCCGTCTCTACTAAAACACAAAAATTAGCTGGGTGTGGTGGCATGCACCTGTAGTCCCAGCTACTTGGGAAGCTGAGGCAGGAGAGTTGCTTGAACCCAGGAGGCAGAGGTTGCAGTGAGCTGAGATTGTGCCACTGCATTCCAGCCTGGCAACAGAGTGAGACTCTGTCTCAAAAAAAACAAAAAAAACAAAAAAAACAAAACAGGCATAGTAGGTGGCTCAATAAATATTGATCAAATGACTAAGAGAAAAATAACAATAAAATAAATAACAATAAATTATATTACCATAAATGTTAGAGGTCTTTCTAACATTTTCTTGAATTAAAGTTTTGTATCTTATAGGTATACATTCTCATAATATATACCCCTGACTATATAATCAACCTGAACAAAGTAAATGGATGAAGTGAAAATGCAGGACTACTACATGCTAGTCACAGAGCTAATGACTTTTAACAACTTCTTAACAGGAGAAAGCATGGTATTTAAGAAAAGACAATTTCCTGCCACTCACTTGCTAGCTTTATGACCGACAAGACAGTTAATCTCTTTGTGTCTCAGTTTCCTCATCTTTAAAATGAGGATGACATTAATATATACCACAAACAAAGCTGTTATGAAGATTAATTGATGAGCTATCAAAAGCAAAGTTAATCACAAGTAAGATAACTGTATTTTTAATTTTTTTTACAAAGGGGTCTTAACTACATAGAGAAACATTTGCTAACTAGTATCAGCCAGCTGAGGTTATGAATCTTGTTCCTATACAACACATGGATAGATCTATTTTTGAGCAGGGCTTAGTTTTTCATCTAATGAATGACACAGAAGATAGTGATATGCAATCGGTTAACCAGTGTGCTACATTAGGGGTTGGAGACTTTATTTTTTCAATAGGGGAGGTAAATGAAGATGATGATGTAAATGTAAGGGAAAGAGGAGATCAAGCCATGGAAGGTTTGGCTACCTCCACAGCGATGCCATAAAATAAATACTGTATGCTATCAATGATCCTGTCAAGAAGTTTCCACATGAAAAATTGAAAGCTAAGAATATTCCTTGAAATTATAATTATTAAGATTTACAGTCTAAAATTCTGTGAAATATTTACCAATTTAAGACTAAATAGAAACAATTATTTCTAGGCAGAGGATTATCATGAATATTAGATTCTTTATGGAGTTCTTAATTTTATTGGTCTTTATAGCATCATAAATTCAACATAAACAGCACCTATGGAGACCACAGAGATGTGCCATTGAGTGAAAGAGAGAAACCCTACCACAAATGACAGAAAAAGAAACACACTTCATGACAAATAAAGAAAGCCCATGTGTCACAATGAAAGAAACAAACCTAGATGAAGCCAGAATTCATTTAAGAGCTGAGTGCCATGGAGCAAATGCCACAGCGTACATAATCCCCCCAAGAAGCCAGTTCCACATTCCAACAGGAGAGCCCTTCTGCACACATGCTGTCATAGAGAAAGTAATACCCTGATAGATGCAGTAGGCTGTGATTGGAGATGATGCCAATGGTAGACTTCTTATACACTCTCATAGGAAATGGAGAATTGCCTGGATGAAGTGGCAAAAAGAAATGGGTTATATATATTTTTTTACACTAAGACTCATAATCTCGGGGAATTAAGAAAAGACCTAAAGAAAATGTGGTGATGAGATGATACCAACCTTTTCTTTCAAATGTCTTTGTTGATATTACAAATAGTTCATTTGCCTTTCTTTTCTTTGCTTCTCTCTACTGATGTTTCAAGAAGTTAACTCTCTTGAGTCAAGTCAAGAAATCAGTTTTAAGAGAAAAAAATTTGACAGTTGTAACTTAAAGTTAAAAATTGAAGAAGATGGCTGTAATTCTATTGACTCAATAAATTCAACTTTATGAAGCTATGGGTTCATCATGCCATTTCTTTCAAAGCTTTTTTCTTAAAATTTGAGGTCTGCAGATGGTATTCTGCCTCAGGTTCTGCATATACTACCTGGTCTTTTCAATAGTGCCAACTTTCAAGGGTTTTCTTTGGCATGACATTCTGAGATAATATTTCTGCAATCTAATTCTAATTCTAAGCTGATAATACTGGCCTTAATATGGTAGCTATAGTGGTCTGTACAAAGTAAATACATGCAGAAATTATGTTGTAAAGAAAAGAGCTAAGGTCTTCAAATTCATACACTATTGAAGTCCTTATTTTTTTTTACGGAGACAAAGTCTCTCTCTCTTGCCCAAGCTGGAGTGCAACTGCACACTCTTGGCTCACTGCAACCTCTGCCTCCCAGGTTCAAGCAATTCTCCTGCCTCAGGCTCCCAAGTAGCTGGGATTACAGCTATGTGCCACCACTCCTGGCTAATTTTTTGTATTTTTAGTAAAGACAGGTTTCACCATGTTGGTCTGGCTCAAATCGAACTCCAGACCTCAATGATCCACCCATCTCAGCCTCCAAAAGTGCCGTGATTACAGGTGTGAGCCACCGCACCCAGACTGAAGTCCTTTTATTTACCTGTCACATTTTGAGATACATATACTCTTTCTTCTTAGCTACTCAAAAAGTGCCTCTGCTTTGAAAGGAAACTTAATAGATATTCAAAGTCTGTTAATAATACTTCAATAAATCTGTTTTTTAAAAATAAGAAAACCCATTTTTCCTATAGTTTAACACAATAAGAACAAGATATTAAATCTCCTAAAAGACAATTACATAGGCCAAATTTCAATTTTGGATGTTTTCCTATGTTTGTGGTTAATGAGACAGAATAATCACTAAATGAATACAAATCTTCAGCTATCAGATACAGACCCATATAGATATACAAACTGGAATCTTGCCTTTAGCTGATATGAGTTTAATAATAAATTATCTGATTCAAAAGAGTCATTATGAAATTAAGGTAGTCAGAGCAATTAAGTTGGCTATCTGGGCTTTAGCTATTTCAATGTGATATAGGGACTGCCAAAAAAAAGTTATTCAGACAACAGTGCATCATAAAAATATAAAAATTTCCCCCTTACAGATGATTTTCCCCCTTTGGTATTCTCAACCATTTCAGGCAAGTGCAAAGTGCAAGGCAAAATAAATTAAGGCAAAAGGAAAATAAAATGAGAAAAATGTTGAGGGCGAGCATGTTATTGACCATGTAAGAAAACACGTGCAAAATATACCTCAGATACACTATAGGTAGATGAGCACGAGGGAAGCCGAGCCTGGTTTTGCAGTGGGGAAAAGAAAACACTGTTAAAGAGGAAAGGATAGCATAGTCAGGGTCACAGAGGGGTTAGATGGCTCCATCACCAACACACTTGCCAGATAAACAGCTTTATAAGCAGACACTTGAGTTTGAAAACATCTCAAGACTCAAGTTATTTGAAGGAAAACTTCGTGACAAAAAAAAATACCTTGCTAAAAAAAAAAATCCATGATGGAGATGACTCCCTCTGCTCAAAATCTGGTATGATCTTGCTGAGAGGGAAAAAGCAGAATGCTGGACAATTTTTTTTATGGTGCGGCATCGATTTTGCTGGCTGAACACTAGAAAACTACATGTGAGGTTGTTTATAGGATAACTCTACCATACATGCTCACAGTTATCATTAAAGACGGTACCAAAGACCACATTCTGATTCTGATTTCCTGTTCCAACTATTCAATTTTTGGTATTACTGAAAGTGGAGAAAGATGACAGTAGAAGAATCAGAAATACACTTATTATCAGATTTGTTCTTTAATTGTATTTCCAGTGCCAAGCACAGCAGAACGTAGTAGGTGTTCAATAAATACTTATTTAATGAATAAGTATACAAATTCCTTTTCTTCTATTCTTAAAAAACTGAACTTATGAAATAACATTCAGTAATTTTAAAGCTTACTATTACAAAGATTTGTGCAAAAAAGTATAATTGCCACTTATTGCTTTGAGGTACTTTCTAAAATATAATGGCAATAGCAACACTATAAAAATGTAAAAACTTAAATACGCAATTATTCTGCAGACTTAGCTTTTAACAGAATGATTCACTGAATTTTTTGAATAGCTATTTTATCATGGATTTTTAAAAATAGCTATTTTGTACTTAAAACCATGTTTAACCTTTATGATGCTGAACTGATAATGTTTTTCCCTGTTCTTACTTTCTATGTTGTCACACTGCCATGTTCAATTCTGTCTACTCTTTTCTCATTGGGTTGTCTCACAATGCCATGTAAGATGAAATTGTTAAGTATGCATTTTCTAGTTACAAATACTGCAGGAAGTTCCAAAATAAAAAGGTAGGATGGGGAAATGGAAGTACTGAAGAAGTTGACAATAGAAGAATAAAAAATGCACTTATTATCAGATTTGTTCTTTAACTCTATTTCTAGCATCAAGCACAACAGAATGTATTAGGTACTCAATGTATATTTATTTAATAAATGAATATACAAACCCTTGTTCTTCTAACGTTAAAAAACTGAACTGATGAAATAATGCTCAGAATTTTTAAAGCTGATTACCACAGAGATTTGTGCTAAAAAGTATCATAGCCACTTATTACTCTGAGGTACTTATGAAAATATGGTAAATTTTATACATATTCAGAAACAACACATTTTTCAACTGTACATACTTCTGAATTTCTTTAACAAAATGTTAGTTCTAAGAAAATCTTGCTGTGTATGTTTGCTCTGTGTCTATATCTATGCCCATAAAACTGAAATACATTATCTTTAAAAACAGTTTGAGAGTCACGTTGTTCTTAAAATTTACTCAGTTCTCTATTTTCTGCTGCTAGGAAAATGTACTTGAGTTATTTTGTTAGTACTTTCTCTTTGAATTAAAGTTTATTCAGAAAGGGCAATTCTATGGTGCATATTAAACATCTCAGAAACATGTCACCTCCGTTCTAAATGATGTATTAGCCCCCTGTAGGTTATTTTATTAATATGAGATTTTTTTGTTCAAAGCATAGGATAAGACAGATTTTTCTTATTGTTATAACTGAAACCTTAGAGTTGAATTAACTACATTAAAAGAATAATAAAAAACTGAAAAGTAGTGAAATTAGTCAAAATTAGTCCAAAGACATAATCCTAAAATTGACTCACTGTTATCTTCATAATTATTGTAGTCTGGTCACATTTATAAGACATTATCGACCAAGATACTCAGGATGTTACTTAATTATTATAAATGAAATAGTAAATAAATATTAATATAAGTAAATGCCAAAATGCCAAACAAGGAAGGCTCAAATAATGTTCTATGTAAAAGAATCAAGAGACAGTCAAATTTGCCTATAGAAAGTAGAGTTTGCAAACTGTTAGTGCAACTAAGGACTAATAAATATTTACTCATCTAAGAACTGATGTTCCAGCTGTTCTTCCCTACTCAAAGTTAGCTGATTCAATGCAAATACCATTTAGATTTTTAAGGTATGATGTATTACTTGATCATGTCAGGGTATCTTTTCCAGTTGTATAAAGTTTCCCAAAGAAAGTATATGATTTTAGGTGAAGCCAAAAGGGAATTTAGCAAAAATCAAAAGTTGATCATGGTCTTCAGGGGAAATATCTTTGTTAAGATGTAATAAAGTAATAAACAGAAAAATGTGTGCAAAAAAATACTTTAAAAACATATTTTATATAACATTTAAGACAGCAATAATGAGATTTATCTTTGTACTGTGAATACTCAGAAAGGAGTACCCAATAAAAGAGGCATTTATAATCTATATTCTTTCCACAATAGAATTCCATATTTGAAGAATTTGTGTGTATGTGTGTGCGTAGAGGGTGAAATCTACGTGAAGAGAGAGAGAGTAGCGGGAGAAGACAATAAAAAAGAAGAAAATAAAAATGTGAAGGTAGACAATCTGAGGAGATCAACCTTCCAAACACATGGTTCCTTGTAGAATAATCTGAAACCATCCTCAAAAAAATGAGCAGCCTTCTTTTCTCAAGTCCTAAAATAAAGATCATTTCAAATTCCATTATAACCATTCCTATGCCAACGTCATCTTGACACACTAGCCAGTTATAGCAGGACTAAGCAAACATTTTCTGTTTAAATAGTCAGAGAGTAAATGTTTTAGGCTGTCTGAGACATAATCTGTGTTGCAACTATTCAACTCTGCTGTTGTATAAAAGTGACTGTAGGTTATGTGCAAATAAATAAGCATGGTTATAATTTGATAAATGTTATTTTTAAACACTGAAATCTGAATCTCATATAATTTTCATATGCCATAAAATGTTCTTCTTTTGATGTTTTCCCACAGTTTATAAATGCAAAATTCATTCTTAGCTTGTGGGCCTATAAAAGAACAGGATTTGCTGAGCTCTGAGTTATCGCATTAACTCAATAAAAATAAATGTACAAAATCCCCAAAGACAATAGGTATCTATTTACCAAAACTGTAAGAAAACAGTTTAGAGCTAAGGCTGGAATGAAAATACTCATCTTAAAAGATTTATACAATCACAATCACCAAAATTCATTACTTATATTAGCCCTATTTGATACTATACTACCCCATTTGGCATTCAGGAAATTAACTGTTAAACATTTAAAAATCATGGTACGAAAGACGATTACTTTCTGATTTGATTCAAGTATTTTTCTTAATACTTATTAAAAATGTAGTCTTATTTTGGGTGATAACTCCTTCTTTGACTAACTTTTTCCACTTTAAATATCATCCTTTAATTTGTGTTAGTATAGTAAATACTTACAAATAATTGTCATATTCCTTCCATTTCATCACTTTCCATCTTAGTTTCACTTATATGCCAATAATCTGTCTTCATGAACCATATTCCCTTTTGTTTATCAAAGTCTTTTAAAAAATCACCATATTTGGTCAGCCAAAACCTATCTAAACCTATGTGTGGCTGAATAGAAATTTAATATATAAACTGAGTACCTAGATAAAAATACAAAATTGTGGCATATGAGTATTTTCATTCCTTTCCTTTCTTTTCTTTTTTTTACCTATGTTTATTTCATGAGCATTTATCTGTGTTTTTCCTGAATATCTTAATATTCAGCCTCTCCTTGGCCCGACTGCTCCTCTACTAATTCAATTCTTTGTAAATTTACCTTGATTTATATTATGTAAAGAAAGGGCCAGGTGTGGTGGCTCACGCCTGAAATCCCAGAACTTTGGGAGGCCGAGGTGAGTGGATCCCCTGAGGTCAGGAGATTGAGACCAGCCTAGCCAACATGGCAAAACCCTGTCTCTGCTAAAAAATATAAAAATTAGCTGGACGCAGTGGCAGGTGCCTGTAATCCCAGCTACTTGGGAGGCTGAGGCAGGAGAATAGCTTGAACCTGGGAGGTGGAGGTTGCAGTGAGCTGAGATTGCACCATTGCACTCCAGCCTGAAAGACAGAGCAAGACTCCATCTCAAAAAAAAAAAAAAAAGGAAGTATTAGTTTGCATTATCTTATCATATGTTTTTCTTTTGCTTGCTTGCTTCCGTCCTTTCTCTCTCTCTCTCTCTCTCTCTCTCTCTCTCTCTGTCTCTTTCTCTCTTTCTGACAGAGTCTTATTGTGTTGCCCAGGCTGGAGTGCAGTAGAACAATCGTGGCTCACTGCAACCTCCACCTCCTGGGTTCAGATGATTCTTGTGCCTCAGCCTCCCAAGTAGCTGAGATGACAGGCATATGCCGCCATGCCTGGCTAATTTTTTTTTCTTTGTATTTTTTAGTAGAGAGGAAGTTTTTTTCCCTTGGCCTCAAGTAATCTGCCCATAAATACGGAAGATACCACTTGCCTTTTAACATTCTTTTGCTATATCGGACAGTTAATAAGATCTTTAGACTGATATACCTAATATTTAATATTTTCAGAAACAAGGTAATCAGAACAAAATGTTTCTCAGTGAGTTCCCCCAAAGCGCTGGGATCATAGGTGTGAGCCACCGCGCCCTGCCTTATCCTATGTTTTTCAATTCTCAACATTGTCTGCACTTGCCTTCAATCCTGTACATTACTTTTAATATTCTTTTTACTAAATTAATGCATTTGATTAAATGGAAAATTAATTTTTTTCTCTATCTGGTTTTATTCTTCAATCATTATTCTCAGCACATCACCAATCTAAAGATTTGTAGTAATTTTCATAGTCATTAAGGTAGGAAAATTCTGCTTAGGAACAAGATGATGATTTTATTATTACTAAAATGACTAAAAACCCACTTAAAGTTCAAAATAATTCTGCTTTGAA